CAGTCCCGGTGGTTTGCCGTTCCCTTGCCTGGAAGAGAGTCCGCTTGGAGAAGGTAGCCGAGGGACCCGCTGCCGGGACGCGTGCGGCCGGCCGCGGAGCGGGCTAGTGCAATCTGAGACACGAGCAGCGCCCGTATCCCTCACGGTCTCGGGAGCGCCGCCCGTCCTCGCCATCCCCTCGGCAGGGCGGGCGCCTTGAAGCCCTCGGACGCGAGCGGGTGAACGGCTTTGTTTTACGTACCTCTGTACGGAACGTTGGACTCGGACATGCCGCTGGAATTACCAACCCACGCTGCCTAACCAGTCTGTCACTTGTTCTGCATGTTACCACTGAGGCGGGGTCGGGGAGAACGGCTCTTGGACGGCGATCAACTCCACGGAGTGGGTGTGCTGTCGAAAGTTGACGAAGAATGATTTTTTATTTTTTTTCCATCGCCGAAATCTCCTGCTGCTTGCACGGGGTTTGGAAGATCTTGGTGTTACTACTGTTCTGGGCAGGGAGGCAGCCTGTGCGGAGGAAAGGTATCTTGTAGGACCCGTGTTTTTCCTCTAGAGTCGTTGTCAAGTGACGTGTAGCAGAATGAGATTACTCTTGTATATTATGTGTCTGTGAACTAACTACATCTCTTACTGGAAGCTAACTTACTATAACGGGGGGGGGGGAAAGAAGCAATACTACTGCGTCTCGGCACTCTAGCTCAATAAGGTGTACAATTTGTACCTACCTACACCTTTTTGCATGCATCTCGTTCACGAGGCTTACTTCACATTTTTTTTTATCATTCTTTGTGTTTTTACTCCAACGTAAACTTTTAAACGCAGCTTGTTCTATGTTTAGTTTTGTTTGTGTAAGAAATTGTTTAACTCATAACTGACAACCATACTTGTAATTACGTGATTGACTGATATTCCTGTACAAATGTTGCTTTTTTAAAATTAATACAGTGCTGATATGGATGGATTACATCCCAACTTAACGATGGCTTGTGTGGTTATTTCCAGATGGCTTTCTCCAATCCCATCTCTGTAGGGCAGGGCGCAGAGGGGT